TGGACAACTAAAAATATATAGAAAAAATTAGCCGGGCATGGTGGCGCATGCTTGTAGTCCCAGCTACTCGGGAGGCTGAGGCAGAAGGATTGCTTGAGCCCAGGAGTTTGAGGTTGCTATGAGCGAGGCTGACACCACGGCACTCACTCTAGCCTGGGCAAAAGAGTGAGATTCTGTCTCAAAAAAAAAAGAAAAAAAAAAGTTAAAGGACACATGATAAACTAGAGAAGAACATTTATAGCTCATATCACAGGAAAAGGCTAACATCCCCAATATATAATATGTGCCTAGAAATTGGTAAGGGGAAGACCAGCAATCCAATCAGAAAATGGACAAGGGACAGTTCAGAGAAAAATATAAACAACCTTCAGAGTCACGAACAAAGCTTCATGATAAGCAGCTGGCATCTGTGCTGGACAGGTGTTGGCTGGTGAAGAGGTGTGTGGGTGGTGCTGGGAGCCAGTGGACGCTCAGCAGGGTGGCAGGGGGAGGTGAGGGATGGGGGAAGGCGAGGGATGGGGAGAGACCTGAGGGCTGGAGCGCAGGCATGAGGGGCGCCCGTGTGCTGCTGAGCTTGGGACTCAGGGTGCCAGGCCTCTGGCTAGGTTAGAACTTGACACTTCCCCTTAGGAGCACTGAGCAACCGCCGAAAGGTTTCAGTAGGGAAATGACGTGATCAGGTTTGGATTTTGTGACTAAAAAGACTAGTTCTGTGATTTATATCTCCCCCAAAATCACTTTACTGTTGTATGGAGACAGGGCTAAAGAGGGGTAGACCGGGAAGCAGGGTGGCCACTTTGCCCTGCTTCCCCGTCTATCCCACGACTCTTGGTGGCTCTGATACCCCTGTGACCATCTGAGGTGTGGTGAGCAAAAGGAGATTCCTCCCTTCCTAGAGCTTCATTCCCAATGGGGCATGACGGATGGTGAGCGCATGTATAAGCAAGATGCTGTCAGATGCTGCGTGCTCGGGAGGACGTGAACAGGAATTGGGGTGGAGTGTGGGAGATTAGAGGGCCCAGTGAGGCCTCCCTGAGGATGGGGCCGTCGTTGAGGGTCTGGGGAGCCAGGACGAAGCATCTGGTTCTTGGTAGACTTATGCGGTTGGAGCTGGAGAGCAATGGCAGAGCCATGGGGGGTGAGCTCAGGCAGTGCGCAGAGGCCTGGTTGCCTGGCCCCACAGGCGTGGGGAGATGTCCGGGTCTTGTTCTGAATGCTGCAGGAAGCCACTGAAGGTTTTTGAAGACTAGTTAGGAGACGGTTGCTGTTGTCCAGGCGGGAGAGGAGTATGGCTTACCTTAGGTTGGTGGCAGTGGAGATGGAGAGACAGAGAAAGGTGAAGATATGTTTTGGGGGAGGCCTGATCGGAACTGCTGATGGGTTGGGGAGTGACCGAGGAGAGCGAGGTGCCAGGGACCATCTCTGTTTGCCATGTGCAACGGGGTGATTGGTAGGATCGTTCTCTAAGGTCACAGAAGGTAGGAGTGAAGGGACAAGGCCATGGCGGGGGGATAGGGGAGGTTGGAAGGCCCTTGTGGGGGCTGGCCCTGCTGAGCCCTCTCTCCTCTCTGCAGCTGTCCTCCTTGACAGAGGCTCACGAGGAGGCTCTTTCCAGTTTGACCGACAAGGCCAAGGGCTTGGAGAAGTCTCTGAGTAGTCTGGAAGCCAGTCAGGCAGGGGAAGCCAAGGAGCTGGTCATGGCCCAGGGGGAGGCCGAGCAGCTGCGGAAGCAGCTAAGGTGGGTGGCTGGGGGTAGGCACCAAAGGTGGGGGGTCCAGAAGTTGGGGGTGTGGCGGGTCTCCAGGGCACCCCACCGATGGCTGCCCTGTTCCCACCGCAACCCTAGAAAGACCCAAGAAGACTTGGAGGCACAGGTGACCCTGGTTGAGAATCTAAGAAAATATGTGGGGGAACAAGTTCCTCCTGAGGTCCACAGCCAGGCTTGGGAACCAGAGCGACAGGAGCTTCTGGAAACAGTACAGGTGAGAGAATGCAGGGGTGCATCTGTATGGGGGCCAGGAGTGGGATGTGTGGCTCAGGATCAGGTTGTGGGATGGGGTGGCCCCTGGAGGAGAGTGTGGAGCTCAGTCCCCAGGCCTGGAGGCCCTACAGAGGGGCTGCTCTCCCCCCACTGCAGAACTTGCAGGAGGACCGGGACGGCCTGCGCGCCACCGCCGAGCTGCTGCAGGTGCGGGTGCAGAGCCTCACGCACATCCTCGCCCTGCAGGAGGAGGAGCTGACCAGGCGGGTAGGGCCCTCCCCCAGACCCCTCACCCTCCACTGGACCCTACACCTACTGTCCCTAGCCTCCCTCCCTGTGGGCAGGAGAGGTCAGTGTGCCCAGAACCCGCCTGGATCTTTCTTTTGTGAACTCTTCTTGCTGCTTCTCCCTTCGCTCGGGCAGGACAGAGAAGAAACAAAGATGCTCCTCCTTCTTCTACTCCCCCAGGAGCCCACGCTTTTCTCCCCTTCCTCCACCCTCAGGTTCAACCTTCAGATTCCCTGAAGCCTGAGTTTACCAGGAAGTGCCAGTCCCTGCTGAAGCGCTGGCGGGAGAAGGTGTTTGCCCTCATGGTGCAGCTTAAGGCCCAGGAGCTGGAGCACAGGGACTCTGTTAAGCAGCTGAAGGGACAGGTTGCTGCACTCTCTTTTCCCCCTACATTCCCCCCAGCTCCTTGCTCCTTCCATACGGATGGTATTCGTTCAACAAATATTACCGAGTGGTTACCACATGCTGCGCACGCAGCCATGAACAAAACAGACAAGTCCCTGCTCTCATGCAGTTTGCATTCTAGAGCTGAGATGCAGAAGAAGCAAGTAAACAGATAATGCCAAATTATATGAAGAAAAGTGACAGAGACTGAGGGTGGGTCACCCTCAGGTAGGATGGTTGGGGACAGCCTCTCTGAGGAGGTGATAGCATCTGAGTGTGGCTGGCATTGTCTGAGCTGCTGGGTCCTGTGGGTGGGTCAGGGGGACATTTCTCAAGGTATGCGTACATGGAAAGTGCTTCTGGAAGGAACACTGGACCCAGACTCCATTCTCAGGAACCTAAGCTTCTGTCTCCCTGCATGGCATTCTTGCAGAGACCTCTGCACCTGCCCCTTCACTCCCAGCGTCCCCTCAGCTTTCAGCTCTGGAGAGCCCTGCCCAGCTCCCTCTCCTCCCCCAGATGGCAGAGCTCCAGGAACAAGTGACAGCCCAGAGCCAGGAGCAGGCCATCCTGCAGCGCTCCCTGCAGGACAAAGCTACGGAGGTGGAGGTGGAGCGGATGGGTGCCAAGGTTGGTGTCTGAGCCAGGCAGGGACTCAGGGAGGGCAGCTGGTCCCTAGGGAGGGACCCTGTCTTTCACCACATCCTCCCCAGGCCCTGCAGATGGAGCTGAGCCGCACTCAGGAGGCCAGGCGCCGGTGGCAGCAGCAGACAGCCGTGGCTGAGGAGCAGCTAAGGCTTGTGGCCAATGCTGTCAGCAGGTATCTGGGGTGGAGGGGTGAGTGAAGTAGTATTTCTGCCTCCCCAGTTTCCTGGGCACCTTGGAGTTAAAGAGTCAGGGAGGGGCCAGGCATGGTGGCTCACGCCTATAATCCTGGCACTTTTGGAGGCCGAGGCAGGAGGATCGCTTAAGCCCCAGAGTTTGAGACCAGCCTGTCCCTCTACATTGATGCTGTGGTCACTTGTTGTAAATTCCTGCTGCATGCTGGGCTGGAGGTGAGGCCGTGCTTCCTCCCGCAGTGCAGGCTAGTAACAGCTTGAGCTAAATCGAGCACCTGGGAGCATCTTCACCTTCAGAATTGCTCAAGGTTGGGGCTGTGGATACTTGATCTTCCTTTCTTTTTCTCTGAAAGTTTACAGGCATGCCCTGCTTACTTAGAAAAAAATTTAGTCTATTTATTTGACGCTGTATACTTACTTGCTTACTAGATATTCCATCTAAAATGTCAGTTTGCTTCTAAATCAATTGCCAGCCTGTGCCTCTCATACCAGCTTCCCAGTTGTTTCATCACTGACAAATATTATGTAACCTGTAGAAAGACCTCTAAGGAAAGACCAAAGTTTCTTTGTGCTGGTGATGACCTCACCTCGGCCTTGGACATCGAGGTGCCCAAGGCAGGTCGTCCGCGTAGAGCTCTCAGGACGGTGGCTGGCTTACAGTTTGTGTCCTGTAATGTTTACTGTTACCATGAGGCTTTTCTTGATGGGTCAGATAACAGTTGTTGGTTTAGCAAAATAAGGCAGGATGAGTCTTTGCCCACTACTACCTTCTCTTGGATTTGTACCTTGGGAACACTGAGCTTTTAAAAATGAAAAATTTCAAACGTGCATGGAATTAGGCTAGTTGTGCACCACCACCCAGATTCGGTCCATGGCACATGCCTTGCACCTGCGGGAGAACAGAGAGATTCACTGTGGACAGGGTTTCACTTTGGTCCTGGGAGATCACAGAAATGCTTCTTGCCAATGATTCATTGCCAGAAGTCCTCCAGACTTAAAGCAGTCCAAACTCGGATTGATGCCAGGTTTGTTAGATAGTCCCTGGTGACTTGGAGACTTATCAGAAAGTGGCCACAGTAGGTGTTGGAAGCACCTACTTGAACAGTTTCCGGGTCAAAGTGATCTTTGCTGTGTTGCTGGGGATCCAACTGCCAGCCTTTGCGCTCACTTGGTTTTTAGTCGGCGCAGCCCTGGACTCTGCTGAGGAAGTCCCAGCGGTGCCCCTACACAATCCCTTGGCCTCCTCCCTGCGCCTGTTTAAGCTTCCCAGTTTTCGTGAGCCCTGTTGGTCCTGCATCTGGCACAGCCCACTGGTAAAGCACACGGACCTGCCCTCATTGTACTGGAGAGTCTGTGCTCCTGGGCTTGTTGGACAGGATAGCTTCGATGCACAGTAGTGAACAAAACACAGGTTATGCCAAATAAGGTTCACAGGTTGCTTGGAAAGATACACAGTTATTTAATGCACTCTTGGGCAAGGGCCCCTTAGAAAATTGACGAAAGCCATGCGTTCCTCACTTGTATGACAGTGCAGGATAGAGGGGTTGTCTGTACAAGGCACAGCAAGTCCTTTGGGGATGAGGGGAGGGTGGAGGGTCAGTGACCTGTGCCCTCTGCAGCTCTCAGATCTGGGTCCAAAGCACCGTGGCTAAGATGGAACAGGCTGCAGCCCGGCTCCCCAGCCTCAGCAACCGACTCAGCTATGCCGTCCGAAAGGTCCACACCATTCAGGGTGGGTAGAGCAGCCTGCCCCCACGCCACCAGGATCTGACCCTCTTCTTCCTGGCCCCGCTCTCTCTGATCCCACATCCATCTACCGTCTTCTCAGCAGTCATTACATCTCTTCCCCCTCACTCCCCTATCTTCCCTTCGCCCTTGCAAACTCGTCTCTGTTGCTGTCTGCCTTTTCCCTCCCAGGCCTGATGGCTCGAAAGCTGGCCCTTGCTCAGCTGCGCCAGGAGAGGTGAAGTTTGGGCACTTTGAGGTGGATAGGGTGGGGGGTGGGGGGTGGGGGTGGGGGCTTAGGGTGTTGCCTGCTGGGACCCAAAACCATGAGGACTGAGGAGGGATGGAGGATTAGGGGTCAGTCAGCTGGGTGCTCTCCCCTGACTCTGCTTCTCTCCCCTGTCCCAGCTGTCCCCCACGCCCACCCCCACCAGTCACAGACCTGAGCCTTGAGCTGCAGCAGCTTCGGGAGGAACGGAACCGCCTGGATGCAGAACTGCAGCTGAGTGCCCACCTCATCCAGCAGGAGGTGGGCCGGGCCCGGGAGCAAGGTACACCTGGTCCTGGAGTCTGGCAGGATGGACAGGAGGGAAGACCTGGGGTCTAGGGCGCGTGGAGAGGCCTGAGCCAGCACCACCTCCTCCCAGGGGAGGCGGAGCGGCAGCAACTGAGCAAGGTGGCCCAGCAGCTGGAGAAGGAGCTGCAGCAGACCCAGGAGTCCCTGGCCAGCGTGGGGCTGCAGCTGGAAACGGCTCGCCGGGGACAGCAGGAGAGCACGCAGGAGGCTGCCAGTCTCCGGCAGGAGCTGACCCAGCAGCAGGAGCTCTACGGGCAAGGTGTGGGGGAAAAGGGGGGCTTCCCGTGGCAGGCGGGTGGGAACTGTGAACAGAGGCTCCTCCTGATGCTCCCCGTCTGTACCTGCACCCCAGCTCTGCAAGAGAAGGTGGCTGAAGTGGAAACTAGGCTGCGGGAGCAGCTGTCGGACACAGAGAGGAGACTGAACGAGGCTCGCAGGGAGCACGCGAAGGCTGGTGAGAGTTGCCGGGGTGGATTTGCGCCTTCCAGGAAGACGGAAGTGCTGAGAAATAGCTTATTGTTTCCCCCTCAAACTTTTTAAAAGCTTTTTACTGAAGTATGCAAGTAACGAAGGTATCAAGGAATAGCGTAGATGAATTCTCATTTGGTGGGCCACGTACCAGCACACTCCAGAGCCCCCCAGACCCACCCCAGTCACTACCCCTCCACAGAGGCCACCCCCTTCCAGATGTCTAATGCCAGCAATTACACTCCCCAGCAGAAATTTCAAACACCTAGACAAGTTAAAAGAATCATGTAATGGGCTGGGCGCGGTGGCTCACACCTGTAATCCTAGCACTCTGGGAGGCCGAGGTGGGAGGATCATTTGAGCTCAGGAGTTCGAGACCAGCCTGAGCAAAAGCAAGACCCTGTCTCTATGAAAAATGGAAAAATGAGCTGGTCGTCATGGCACGTGCCTATAGTCCCGGCTACTCAGGAGGCTGAGGCCAGATCACTTGAGCCCAGGAGTTTGAGGTTGCTGTGAGCTATGATGATGCCACTGCCCTCTACCTGGGGGGACAGAGCAAGAATCTGTCTCAAAAAAAAAGGAAAAAGAATCACATAATGAATCACATAATTCATATGTCTTCTCTAGCTCAGCACAGCAGGTAACACTTGCCACACTTGATCTCTTATCCCTATGCACATTTATATATTTTCTGGAACCATTTGAAGTAAGTTGCAAATGTGATTGCTCAGCGGCATCTCCCACAAATAGAAAATTCTCCTCTGTACCTGTAATGCCATTATCATACTTCAAGAAAATGAGCCCTGATTGCACAAAATCTAATATCCAGTCCATATTGAGATTTCCTGTAGGGATCTCTGGCGTGGTTTGGGGATGGGGAAGGCACTGTGGGCTCACAGATTCCCAGGGCCCCAGAGCAGCAGCCCAGCCCTCTCATGGCACGGAAGGGACGGGAGGCCCACAGAGCTGCTGGTCTAGCCTTCCTGCCTCCTTGCTGCAGAGGGCCTGGCTGCCTCTGGCCTGGCTGACTCACACTTGTCCCCTCTGTTCCCTGGCTTCTCTGTAGTGGTCTCCCTGCGCCAGATCCAGCGCAAAGCCACCCGGGAAAAGGAGCGGAACCAGGAGCTCAGGCGTCTGCAAGAGGAAGCTCGGAAGGAGGAGGCGCAGCGACTAACCCGGCGCGTGCAGGAGCTGGAGAGGGACAAGAACCTCATGCTGGTAGGGGACAGTAGAAGCCAGGGCCCATGTTGGGCTGGTTGGGGGGTAGGAGTGTGGCAGGAGGACAGGGGGCTCTGCCTGGGCTAGGTAGCGTTCAACCTCTCCTTCCCAGGCCACCTTGCGGCAGGAGGGTCTCCTCTCCCATTACAAGCAGCAGCGACTGTTGGCAGTCCTTCCTTCCCTGCTGGGTAAGGAGAAGGCTGTGGGATCCGGCCCCAGGCCTGCTGGGTCTTCAGCACCTGTAACTCCAGCAGCAGCACAGCCCACCAGGGAATCCATAAAAGGTAACAGGCTGAGCACAAAGGGACAAATGGAGGCCCTGCGGGAATCTCTCCTTCAGGCACTCTTGCGTGCGTGAGCCTTGTTCTCCGTGGTCCTTGGAGGCCCTTAGCCTCTTTTATTCACACCCACCTTGGACCAAAGAACCTCTCCCCGCTAATACTCATGTCCTGTGCCAGCCCTGTTCCTCCACACAGTAACCCCAAGAGCCCTCTCTTGTCTGGTGCCCATCCCGTGCTGTCTTCCTTCCCAGGGTCCCTCTCTGTCCTGCTTGACGACCTGCAGGACCTGAGTGAGGCCATTTCCAAAGAGGAAGCTATTTGTCAAGGAGACAACCAGAACTCTGCAGCTCCAGTCCCACAACAACGCTGAGCAGCTGAGCAGCAGAGGGCTAGAGGGAAAGCCGGCCTTGGGGCTGGAGGATCCTGAAGAGGGGCAGGGTCCAGCCCAGCCCCTTCCTCACCCAGCGGCTGGCTCTGGGGACACCAGCTACCACCGAGTCTGAATCCTCCTGCACTAAAATAAAGATGACTACAGTAGGAGCATTGGAAATGTTATCTCTGGGAACGTGCGGGAATTCTTCCTGCACCCTCCTCTCCTGGAGATGTGCGAAGTGAGCCCACACATCGCTGTTTCTCTAAATGGCACCTTTTTCAAAACCCCTTTCCTAAGCTGCTTTGAAAGTTTTTTGAGAAGCTCCTGTTTTTCTTTATTCTCGACTTTTGTTTTAAAACTCTTTTCCTCTGGAAGATGATAAATGCCAGGAGTGGGGAAGATAAAACATTCACTCATTCACCAGGAATGTCAGATCCAGGCACTGCACTAGCCCGGGGCCACAGTGGCAGGCTGGGGGCCCTGGGTGCTGACACTGCAGTGGGAGAGGCCTACCGTAGAGAGGACCTAAAGGGACAAACAAGATTGTTTCAAACAATAAGTGCTGGGAAGAGAAAGTACAATACAATCATATGATAGAGACTGACTCTGGACTCTTAAAAAAAAAAAAAGGGCCTGGTGGGGTGGCTCACGCCTGTAATCCTAGCACTCTGGGAGGCTGAGGCCAGAGGATCGCTTGAGCTAAGGACTTTGAGACCACCCTGAGCAAGAGCGAGACCCCGTCTCTACTATAAATACAAAGAAATTAGCCAAACAACTAAAAATAGAAAAAATTAGCCGGGCACGGTGGCACGTGCCTGTAGTCCCAGCTACCTGGGAGGCTGAGGCAAGAGGATCCCTTGAGCCCAGGAGTTTGAGGTTGCCCTGAGCTAGGCTGACACCACGGCACTCTAGCCCAGGCAACAGACCGAGACTCTGTCTCAAAAAAAAAAAATCTCTAAGTATTTTTTTAGTAGTTTTTTTAGACACAGTTTCCCTGCTCTGTCACCCTGGCTAGAGTGCAATGGCATCAGCATAGCTTATTGCGACCTCAAACTCCTGGGCTCAAATGATCCTCCCATCTGAGCCCTCCAAGTAGCTGGGACTACAGGTGTGCACCACCACACCTGGCTAATTTTTCTCTTTTTTTGTAGGGACTTGGGGGTTGGGGGAATGTCTCGCTTATGCTCAGGCTGATCTCGAACTCCTGAGCTCCAGCGATCCTCCTGACTTGGCCTCTCAGAGTGCTAGGATTACAGGTGTAGAGCTACTTTTTTAATCAGAGAGAAACCGACATGATCCCATGTACATTTTAAAGAGATCCTTTGGGTGTGGGGGAGGGGTGAACGGCGGGAGCAGGGAGGCCAATTAGAAGGGTTGGGGAGGCTGGAGGAGAGATGGGGGCTGAGGACCGGTGGGCTGGGTTTGGATGCGGGGAGAACAGGGCTTGCAGGTGGATGGGGAGGAATGAAGGTTTCAACATGAGGTGAACCCTGAGGGGACAGTGGTGTCCTCTACTGCAGGGGGAGCAGCCTGGGGAGGAATCAAGTTCTGTTTTGGACACATTCCTTCTGAGAGATCTGTGGACCTCCGGGCAGAGAGGTCCTGGAGGGAAAAGTTCTAGGGGGCCCTCTGACGAAGACGAGGGAGCTGAGACCCAAAGGAAGAGGGGAGGGAGGAGGTGGGCACAAGACAGTTGGAGTCAAGCACCAGGGCACAGGCCAGGGGGCAGAGAGGAGGACTCCTGAGGGAGGAGGAAGGACCCCAGGTTAGAGGAGCAAGGCAGCTTCTTCCTGAGCCTCTGGGCGAGACTGAGGTAGCCAGCTCTGGGTGGGGAGAGGGAAGGGGGAGATCCTCACATCTTCTTCCTCTTCTGTAGTCACCCAGGTGGCTCCCGGAAGGAATTCCTCAGACATCACTGCTGGGGAGGGCCCTGCATGCCTGAAGAAGGCCCATGCTGGAGAGCAGCATGCCTGGGTCCTGGGGGGACGGGAAGTGCCAGGGAAAGAAGGAAGCCCCGAGGTGGAGCGGTCCACGGTCCACGTGTGGGTGGGTGGGGCCGGGGCACTAGCTGACACTTGGCAGCTGCATCCCAGGTTTGACAGGCACTCCCCCCACACCCGGGCGTTCTTCCTCCCAGCCCCTGCAATTACGAAGCTTCCCCACGCTTGTTTGCTCCCATTCTTTGGCTTCCAATAGCTGCAGGGATGAAAGGTGGACATCCCTATGATTATGGAGCTGCCAGATAGGTATGGATTGCTGCAGGGTGTAGATGGGGGTGTGTGAAACAAAAGTGGGGTGACCTAGAGTCTGGGTCACGGTAGGGAGAGCCAAGCAGCTGGGTCCTGGGCTGGGGGACTAAAATGAGGGACGCCACCATCAGAGGTTACACATTAGCCTTGGCCCTCCAAACGGGTTTGACCAGTTCGGTTCTGATGGGATTCCACGTGTCATTGGGCCAGCCCCTCCGCAGAGACTGGCCTTCTCCTCTCCCTCCTCTCCTATAAAGCCTCTTGGGGTTCTCAGGCTCCCAGACGCAGCCCACCCTGGCTTTGGGTGCCAGGAGACAGCCATGATGCTCAACTGGAAGCTTCTGGGGATCCTGGTCCTTTGCCTATGTGCCGGAGGTGAGCCGGGAACAGAGGCCAGGAATGCAATTTGGGTGATGAGGGATGGTCATGACCAGTGAGGGTGACCGCTGAGAAGGAAGGAGGTGAACTGGACCCATGGGGTGGGGGAGATCTGGGAATTCGCATTAGGGGAAGAGTTAAGGGGATGCAGGAAGGTGCATTTAGGCTCAGAATAAACGTTTTGCTGGCTCGGGTGTCGCTTTATGTGGCGATTTAAGTCAGGATCCAGGTGTGTGGGGCAACTATTCATCGGAGCCAGGACCTGTGTTAAGGAGGGTGAAGTCACTGTAGAGATGGGGTCTGGGTACCAATGGGACCAAGGTGTAGGCCCCTTTGGGATGCAGGCTGGCCTGGGGGTCATGCCACTGAGGCGGCCCCACCAGGGTTGGATGGAGCTTATTTGTGGAGGTCTTGTCAGTTTAAAGTCGGTCAAGGTAATGAATGGTTCAGATCAGTGCTCGTGGTAGGGGTCATGTCATTTAAGATCATTTCAGTATCTGTAAATGTATAGAGAGCTCTCTGAGAGAGACTTTTGAGATGTGTTTGTGGGATCAGCTCAGGCTGTGTCCATCCCAGAGAGGCTCTGCCTCTTGGGGCCGTAGCTGGGATGGGTGGGAACAGAGGTCTGGCCCTGCCCACCTCTTACCTTTCTCCTTCCTCCTCTACAGGCATCTCAGGCAGTGGGGACCGCCCGTCTTCCCCACCCACAGAGGCCCGAGAGGACGAGGGCTCCCCCACATTTCCTCAGGGTCCTCCAGTCCCTGGGGACCCCTGGCCAGGGGCGCCCCCTCTCTTTAAGGACCCTCCACCTCCAGGCCCCAGTCATCCCTGGAGAGACCTGCCTGAAACGGGAGTCTGGCCCCCTGACCCCACTAGAACTGATCCTCCTCAACCTCCCCGGCCTGATGACCCCTGGCCAGCAGGACCCCAGCCCCCAGAAAACCCCTGGCCCCCTGCCCCTGAGGTGGACCACAGATCTCAGGAGGAGCCAGACCTTGACCCACCCCGGGAAGAGCACAGATAACAGGATGTCCAGAGCCGCCCCTGCTGCCAGGTGTCTCCAGGCAGAGTGCACCCAAGCCCATCTCCACCCTCTGATTCCCCATAAATCTCCCTAATTTAGCCTACCTCCTTAAGTCCCTTCTTCATTCCCTCAGCTTTATTCTGAACTCGGTGTTGTTATCAATATTTTCTGTCTCCTCCTGAGATCCGTGTGTGGCCCTCACATTTCCCCTCTGTTTTTCTCGGACAGCCTAAGTACACTCCTACCTCATGTCCTGTCCTCGCCCTGCCTGCTCGCCACCACCTCTGCCCAATCCTGGACGCTGGGGCAGGGCTGCCAGCGTTGTGTTCCCTGCTGCCACCTGGCGGCCTACGCCTGGGAACTATCGGTACACAATGATGGTGCTTCCATGAAATGGAAAGATAAAAACCATATTTTCTTAATTCTGACTCTAGGCAGCTTCCTTACTAATGATTAGGTTTTGAATATTCAGATGCCCTCCTCACAGCCCTAATCTTACAGAGCTCTGGAAGGAATCTGAGTGCCTAGCTTGCCCGTGGGCAGCGCATAAGGCTGTGGGCTCTGCAGGAGGAGGGCTGACTATAAGGACAGGCCCACATCCCTCCTTTTCTGGGACCCTTGTATCAAAGGATAGCAAAACAGGTTAAGTCTCTGTTCAGTGGCTTATGATTTGGGATACCACTGGTGATACATGCAAACTTTCCCAGAGGCACGTGGACAGGAGATCAATTTCCAGATGTGTATGTGTCCCTTCCTAAAATGAATCTCTTGCCCACCCTGAGCTTGACCACGGTGCCCTTCCTGGGGAGGCCAAACAAAGATCAAAGGAAAACATATATAAAACCTTTCCATCTCATTAAGAGATGTGTTTTCAACAAAAGTTTACTTTTTATGTTTAAGCATTGTCAGCATTTGTAGTTTTGACTAATTGTACTAATTGCAATATAAACCTAGTACAAAATAACTATTTTGAACACACTTTTTTTGAGACAGAGTCTCATCTCACTCTGTTCTGCCAGGTAGAGTGCAGTGGCAGCATCATAGCTCACAGCAACCTCAAACTCCTGGGCTCAAGCTGTCCTGCCTCAGCCTCCCAAGTAGCT